AGTCAGCCCGAGCGCTAAGATGACTTTATGCAAGAGCGAGCATTGTATTAGAGCTCATACGAAACTAAAACCAAAGATTATATCGGGTGATTTTAGAAAACTAAGTAACTAAATAAACAAATAAATAAACAGATGAGCAAATAAATATTCGTTCTTTTTTTTCAAAATGGCTCAGTTAGAACTATTACTGTTGCCATTTGACACAGTCTGATAGACAAATCTTCACACAAGTAAATCTTGTCAAAAGCAAAATAATTGTCGTTGTATTTTACTATTTTAAGTGTTATCGACCCTACACTGTGAGTAGTTGTGCGCGTGAGAATGTTTGTTTCTATTTTTATTCCACCGACGGCGTTTATGGACGGTTGTCCGGAGCGGAAAAATTAGGTTAGCCGAACCAATTGGACAATCATGTTTGACCTAGTTTTTAACGTATTTAATTTAAATCGTATTTCCTTTCATACAGCTCTTATGCTGTAGGGCCTACCAAATAATTTATTGTAGCTTTCTTTACAGACATTAATCGTTGTTATTATTTTAAATTATTGTTCAAAAAGTAGGTCAGGTGATTTATGACGCCCCAATTAACACAATGTAGAACATTTGGGAAGCAAGATTCAACCCTGCCTGTCAGAACCAACTGAGATACAACTTTTTAACAAAAAAAACTCACGGAAATAATTGACTAAAATTCTCCCCACTCAAGAATCGAACATGGGTTGTCTGCATGCGCCAGCAAAGGGCCTAACAGCTACACCACAAACGTCGATCCTTACCTGTATCAAATATATCAAAAATCTCCTTAGAATTACAGTCTCAAATTATTTCTGAGAGAAAAATGCAGTTTGGTGTTAAACGAGTTCTCGTACACATTGCATCAAAATAGTGCAAATTCTTCAAAAGTGGTTGCAATTGTCCCTTTTATTTTCAGAGACAACAACTTTTTTTAAAGTAAGGGGGGGGCTACACCCCAAAATCAAAATTCGGCTCAAATCGTGGAATTTTAGTTGTAGACATTTTTAGCTTCCTCAGCCTCTCATACAACTATTTCATGGCATAAGAACCCCCAAAAACCGTATTTTCCCCATACCGGGCATGTTTGTAACCGGCATTTCCTCATAAAGTCAGTATTTTATTTTTCTTTATCGGCCGTTTTATCAAAATGCGACTTTTCTCTATACTTATTTGAATAACTCCACCATTTTTCATCAAATTTTCATGAAATTTTCACAGAATGAAGAGAAGAGGAAATACTAAAAATCTCTTTGTTGAATTTTGGATATATAGAATAGATTTTTGGTGTTGGTGTCTGGAGTGTGGATTTTCACGGATTTTTCGAAAACTTGAATGCTACTTCAGGAAAAAATTCATTAAAAATTTTCTAATTCGATTAGGAAAAAAACAACAAATATACAATTTTAGATCTAATGTTTGTAAACACGCATGCAAAAAAACAATCAATTTCCATGAGCGATAAGTGCGGTATTCATTACGTAAGACATGTCAATAAAATCCAATATGGCGGCGTATCCACGGAAATGAAACTTTTTTCTCAAATTTGATTGTGGATTTTAAGACTCTTACTATGCTTGTTATATGTGTGAAATTTGGTTAAATTCGGTCCAGTAATAAGCGAGATAGCCTCCAGGTGTAGCCCCCCTCCCCCCCTTAAACAACATTTAATTTAACTTTCAAAACTGTAGTTATAACTGGACCTTTTTAGCGCATATGATCATCTTTAAAGAAGTATATTATTTATTTTATGAGTTATGATAGATATGCAATTCTTCTTCTTCTTCTTCTTCTTCTTCTTCTTCTTCTTCTTCTTCTTCTTCTTCTTCTTCTTCTTCTTCTTCTTCTTCTTCTTCTTCTTCTTCTTCTT